TGACTTTGAACCACACCCATGCTTGAACACTGATGGGAAGCCACAGAATAAAAGTGGATACTAAGTAGATTTATTCTACATTTCCTGATATTGCTCTTGCTAAAAATAGCTTAGGCCTGGAAAAAAATTCAATAAACACAATTTTTATCATCATGACTTTGATTTTCAAGCTCCAAAAAAAATCTGAAAAGCAATTGGTTCCACTTTATGCCAGATCCAGTGACTGGAGCCAAGTAGGTCCCATCCTCAATATCTGATGCAACAAGAAAACTGAATGCCACGGTGAATTAAACCCTCACTTTCCTCTTCTGGCAGCTTCAAATGAGCCCATTTGGTGCATATTTAGCAAGGACACAGAACAAAATAAGCATGCAGCAAGGATTTCACTCTTCTTCCAGTGCTCATTGCACTTCGATGGCTATTGTTTGCCGGTCTGTAAAGAGGTAATTGACTTCCAGGACAGTTCAATTCAACAGGATTTTTGCCATTAGCTTCAATGAGACTTGGGTTTCTCAGCTCCTTGAGCCTTTTTTTCCCTTGATATCCCTAGATTCCTCTTCTCCACTCTGCCTTCTTGTTTTATGGCTTTCACTGAGATGGCATTCCAGTTTCACCAATTCCTTTTCCTCTTTCTGACCAGGACTGAATTTTTTCCCATCCTCAATATGGACATAAAATGTAAAGGGATCCTCATTTCCACGGTGTTACTTCAAATCTTTGACTATTTCTGGGATCCACAATTCAGTGGCTTGACAAAAAGAAAGGAGTATTTTCAGAAACAATATTCCTAATCTTCAAATGTTTCACTGTCATAGACAGCACTACAGTGCACTGGATTTTGTGAAGAACATATTTACAGGTATCAGAAAAATAATCACATACAATGAAAAAAAAGCAAAGAAAAATCAAACCCACATAAGCAGTTCACCCTGATATCCACAGTTGTTGCCAGTTTTAAAGATTAATTTTGTGATTTAAATCTTGACATTTTAAATTAGCTCAGTACAAAATGAAGGTGTTGAAGGACATGTCCAGTGAGGACAACGTCCATGGCAACACTGGCAGTTATTTATGAGTCAGCAAACCTCAAACATCCATAAACATGTTTGCCTTTCAGCTGAGTGTTTGCAACACACTCTAGTTCCCAACCTTAATTTCAGCAAATACAAAACAGTAAACACATGTAAATCTGCATTTGCAGATACCAGTATCTTCCTGTGTACACACTAAGCAAATTATAATGCTTCTCTTATACATAAGCAGTATGACTTCCATTTACAAAGAATTTTCATCTGTAACACAAGCAAAAACAATGTCTAAAACAATTTCTCCACTTGTAAGCAGATTCTTTAATTAATTTGAAAGCTTCACTTAATAGATATAGTATTTTTAACTTTTAATAGATGGTTCTGTTGCTGACAGTAAAAAAAATATTTTAAGAGCTATGAATACAGAGGTTGGAGATTAGCTTTTGAAAAAGCATATTGCACAACAGAAGTTGTGTTAGGCAGATACTGCATTTTTCCCATGGAAGTTCTTTCTTAAGTTTATTCAAGGAACATAATAGACTATGGCAAACTAAAGTAAAAGCAACACATTGTGTAAAATTTGCATGCTAACTAAACCAATAAATTAACCAGGTTCTTATTTTAACAAATAGCTGGTTCTGGAACATAGGAAGTCAGGTGGCAGACAGTCCAAATATATTTGCAGGATTTGAAGCAAATTATATTGCTGAGATTTCATGATCAGTTACAGCTAACCTACGCCTATGCAATTCTTGCAAATACAGATCTAGGGTATATTTGCATTACCCCCCAAAAAATTACTTTCTTTGTCATTTTTGCTTCAAAATAAATACTCTTTGGAAAATAAACTGATACTTAATGCTAAAACATGTGCAAGGCATCATCTAAAATTTTATGACTGATTTTTAAGACATCTTTCACAGCATCCTAACAAATATTATTTTACTTCAAGTCAAGTCAAGTTTAACAATAAGTCATACAGGATTTCACAGAACTTGCCAAAACAAAAAGACCAACCTTCTACATCCATTATATTAATTCAGCACAGAAATGCTACAAAATTTCTAGTACTGTACTTGTTTTCTTCAGGTATACAGTGTAATCAAAACATCTGAGCACCACTTTCTTCTGTTGTTTTGGCTTTCCAATCACTGATTAATTCTTTATGTAAAATAGCAATGCGTAAATGACCAAGTTTTACTGTACCTGAATACCAAAGACCAAGTCAAGTCTGTATTAATACTGATTAACAGGAGTTATAATTTTAAGACCAAGCTGTTGTATATTTTATCTCCATTACGGCGTTTTGTGTAAGGCCAACCACTAGTGTGGGTGTAAGAACTCCATGACAACTCTGCGATGACCTGTCTTAAAATACCACTAATCGCAACTGAACACAATGACAAAACAATGCAAATAACTTCCTAGGGAACACCATCAACCATTGAATGAGTTTATAGTAACTCTTAATAAAAAAACCCTCATTGGTCAAGATTTCCCACTTACCACAGTTTGAAGTCATAACTTCAGCTGGAATCTGACTTCTAGTGAAGCCACGCAGATTGACATGAACGTCAGCTGGGAATCCGACACATGGTTTCCAGTATGTCACCGTGCCAGTAAAGAATGAAGTGAGTACCTGTTATTTCAGGCATCCAGCACCAGTGTTTCTGGACAGACAGACCTTACAGAGTCTACACATTACAGCTGCAACTAGATCCCAGTTTTGTGATGAACAACTACACCTTTGTCAGGAATGTAAGCGTTTGTGCCAAGGGGCTGACACACTCAGGTATCCTGCCTGGAGTTTCACCTCGTTCCTCTCACCCTGCTATGGCAATGGCTTGATCCCAAACACAAGGCTGTTCCTGATGCCAGGAAAGACAATCAGCTGCTTAAGCAGCCTGTGACCATTAAATCAACCTTTCATGCTTCCTCCAAAGGAAAGGTGCAGGCCAGATGGATGTCTTCGGTGGCACAGTCTGGTCTATGGGCTGCTGTTTGGATTATGTTGCCAGTCTGAACTCGGGGATGAGTACTGAAAACCCAAAAAAAACAAACAAACCTCACAAGCAACATAGAAAAGTAACATACTTAACGTATTCTACTAACCTAATACCTGCTCCAAAGCTACAATTATGAAAAAAAATTACACTTGAGGCTTAGGCCTGATTAAGTTGTCAAGACTAGCGCTC